ACATTTGTTACAATTGATAAGCCAGTATTATTATACTATTATTAACTAAAGTCCATAGTTTACATTAAGGTTCACTCTGTTGGGCATTCTGTGGGTTTTGACAAATGTATAATGACATGTATCCATCATTACAGTATCATACAGAATAGTTTCATTTCCCTAAAAATCCCCTATGCTCCACCTATTCATTCCTCCCTCCCACTTCCCAGACCCCCAGGTAACCACTGATCTTTTCACTGTCTCCTTCACTGTCTCCATAGTTTTGCTTTTGCAGAATGTCGTATAGTTGGAATGATACATTTTGTGGCCTTTTGAATTGGTTTCTTTCACTTCGCAATACACATTTAAGGTCCCTCCATGTCTTTTCATGTCTTGATAGCTCATTTCTTTTTAGCACTGAATAGTATTAAATTGTATGGATGTTCTACACCCACAGTGTGTTAGTCTACCTAGGTGGCCATAAGAAAATACCGTAGCGTTCAAGGTCAGGTTGCTAGTGCTCGGGTTCTGGTAGGGGCTCTCTTCCTGGCTTGCAATGGCTGCCTTCTCACTGTGTCTTCACATGGCATTGAGAGAGACAATCTTCTTGTGATTAAGCCACAGACCTATTGGATTAGAGGCCCACTCTTACGACCTCTTTTAACCTTAATTACCTCCTAAGGACCCTATCTCTAGATAGAGTCATATTGGGGGTCAGGACTAACATATGAATTTGAGGGGGACACAGTTTAGTCCACAGCACAGTTTGCTTATCCATTTACCTGGTGAAGGAAATCTTGGTTGCTTCCAAGTTTCGGCAATTATATATGAAACTGCTATAGACATTTGTGTGCAGGTTTTTGTGTAGACGTAAGTTTTCACATCATTTGGATTAACATAAAGGAGCACAATTGCTGGATTGTGTGGTGAGATTATGTTTTATAAGAAACTGCCAAACTGTTTTCCAAAGTAGCTGTACCGTTTTGCATTCCGACCAGCAGTGAATGAATATTCCTGTTGCTCCACATCTTTACTAGCATTTGGCTTGCCCGTACTCTGGAATTTAGCCATTCTAATAGGTGTATAAGGGTATCTTATTGTTGTTTTAATTTGTAATTCCTGACGACATGATAATGTTGAGCATCTTTTCATATGCTTATTTGCCATCTGTATATTTTCCCCTCCTTTCTCTCTCGCTTTCTCTCTTTCCCTTTCTTGCTTGTGTTTGTACAAAAGCCACCTTTTTTTCCTGCACATAAGATACATGTACCAAGACCAGAAGCTTCCATCTGCCACTGTGGTTTCTTTTATATCTTCATTCTCTTATGTGAAGGTTCTCTTTACTTTCTACCACTAAACAAAACCTGGTACTCCTAGATGACACAACTTTCCCTAAAGCCCTGATGAGTCATACCTATGTTTATTCTCAGAACCATTTTACCATAGGGCCTCTGAAGGTGGAATAGGTGTTTTCCTTGTCTTTCACTGCTACTTCCAGATCATTCTCCCCTTCTCCTCCCTAAAAATATCTAGGTTTAAAATCTCTCATTTTGTCACAATATACCATCCTCTACCTTTTCCTGTCTCAGTCATCTGCTGATTTGGGGTCACTCTCCCTCACTTTTTGAAAAATTTTAGCTACTAGCTTACTGTCACTTTCTCCAACATTACTTCCATCATGATTCCTGAATGATGTCAGTATCCTCAGAGAAGATCCTTCAGATACTCTGACCTCTCATTTCATGGACCTCTTCTCCACTAGTGATCTTGCCTTTCACCCTGTCTTGGCCACTTACTCCCCTGATCATAAGCCTAAGTCTTGTCATTACCAATAACACCTCACTTTCTAACATCTCACTGTGACTACCATCTCCTGTCTTACCAGCTCACTCCTTTAGTATTCCAATTCCAGTAGTCCTTCAATCCTACTGAGATTTTGCTGTTTTTCTACCGTTTCTCATTCCCTTCATTTTGTCACTTCCCTTTTACCCAGTTTAAATACCATGGACAATCATCGTTACCATTCCCTTGCTTACACCCTTACTATCCCTGTCCATCTCTTGTAGGGCTCTCTTGGTTAAACCACAACACTAGTTAAATCCAATTCTGCCTACTCTGTGCCTGCACTAGTATAGCTGAATGTGGCTGGAAAAAAAATTCAACTGTGCTGACTCGTCTCACTTTAAGTATTGCCAGGGCAGTCATATTTCCCTGGTCCTTTCACTCTCGCATTCTGATGATTGTTTTATAAAGTTTCTTCTGTCTTCAAACCTCCAACATCTACTCTCCCGTTCTTTGACTCAGAAGAGAACTTCTGCCTTCTCTCTTGTTGCTGAGAATGAATGGCCTCTTACTCATAGCTAGAGCGAGTCCTTCCATGTGTGCTTCAGATCCCTCCTCCTTTATTCAAAAATATTGCTCA